GCGAGTTTTTCCACGTTATTAAACGTCGAGTTCTCCCCAACTACCACAAGTCTTTCTCTAACTGTTTAATTTAGGAGAAAAAGTTTCCTATTTCGTGTATAATGAAAGTTATATGTAGCCATGTTTACATAGATTATTTAACAACTAAAAAATTCATATTATACCTCAATCTGCATAAAGGCACTGGAAATTGTTGCCCAGCATTCCTTTTTTTTCATTTGTACGTGGTTCTTTAGATTAGCTGTAATAACTGATAACATCACACATCTATTCGATTACAGCGCGTGTTGAAATTGCCTTGTTTACGTTTTTAAATCGCTGCGAGACGGGAAAAGGGCATGATTACCATACAGTTATGGCAACATGTACTCTATACTCCGGGAATCAACCCTCGCACACTATAAACGTTATATTACTCACTATTATGTGTAACGTTCGCTTGCTTATACTACAAAAATGACTGCTTAATTAATGTATTGTGAGTGCAAGTTTTGCAAACAGTGGCGTCTATTGTAGCCTGCATCTGCATGGCAGGCTCATTGAATAATGAGCCTGCAACAATCTCAAAGAAATTTAGTATAGTTCGCGGCCGTGAGAGGACGCGAAAATCCTATTAGCTAAAATAATATACATAAATTATAGAACCGTGTGTGGTGAAATGTTTATACACGTTGAATAAAAACGTATATTTTTGAAAGTGTACTGTGACGTTGGGTTTTAAACTAAAAACTGAACAGCTGCAAATCGTTGAGATGTTTTGGCAGGTTCTCTGATTGGATATCTACCTTTACAAGTACTAGTCGAAGAGCATGGATACAAACCAATGCACGTGTTGGCATTTCTCTATATAATACAGTAGCTGTACCCGCTCAATTTGAAATGCTGATTGACAAATTCTGTGCCCTACTAGCAATACATGCATGCAGCAACCCCTCACATGTATTTTCCAAACATTGATTTAACATGACGTATTAGTAATTGATCAAAACTGAACGCGGTCTTGCGTTTACGTCAGTGTTGCCATGGCAACACGATAGAATGATAAATTTATTTTTTTATTATATTTTTTGTACAGCACGCCAAAAATAGTTGAAAGATTATTGCTTTTAACTATATAACAATGAATTTCTGAAATATGTACTGTATAGGTATGTTCACAACGATGACGTACGCAATACGTAACAAGCTAATTATTGCATTCTAGGGAAAAATTTAGGATTTGAAATATTTGCTGAGAAATATGGCCAGGAAGAACTCGAGAAAAGATTGAACGATGAAATTACAGTAAGTTGTTCACATTCCTGATTTAAAATTGTACTTTCTACGTAGAAATATCGATCAAAGTGTACGCGCGACCGCGCAAGAACGAGGAGGATGGGTCTTTAATTATTAGACTAAAATGAGCAAAACTAGACTACGTACATCGTAACCGATGCGATCAGGCCAAAAGTCAGACTTCTTTAATATAATTTTAATTAAAGAATTTATATCTTCGAATCATTCATACGATGAAATACTCCCTTCGTCTTTTGTGTATGCGAGATTAGGTGAATCCGAAATCTCTTAATCTTGAAATAGTGACGTACTTTCAGGAATGCCTGTTATGTATACGCTCAAAAGGAATACAAGTTCCTGCTATGAAGGCAAGTCTGCGGTTTCGATTTTTTTCCGTTCACAAACATTAACGCACTGAACGGCAAAGCTGGCTGATGTATATCATTTAAAACATCCTCTAAAAGGTCTTACAAGGAATTATTTTTATACGTTTTATATCAAAATATGCTTTTTATATTTTATAAAAGACGAAAGACATGTGGAGCATGAAACGTGCACGTGTTTAACACATTTTCTATGGGAATTGGAATGCTACGAAAAAGTGATAACTTCTTCATGTAGTATAGTATCTCATGCAGTATATCATATAAATGCAAGACTGCTTTTATCATCTCCGTTTCTTCTTATCACAATTGTTAACGAAATTGACCAATAATATGATTACATTTGTCAATTAGCTTTTCCCCCTCAATCCACTAGCAAGAATATACCCAATTTGTTATTTTGTATTTACTAATCATCTTCTTCTTTTACCAAAGGCCCAGATTTTTCTATTTCATCTTAATTCTCCAGCACGAAGACGACCTTTGAATTCACTATATGAGTAAATTGTTAAGGTGGCTCGCTACAGTTTATAGAAATGTTGAAAATGAGAAAACTAGATCACCTTTTTGAAGAGATGATGCTCTTTACAAATCGAAATTTGTATATCATATATACAGCGAGAATCAAACAGTCGAAAATTGGTCAGAAAAGTGACGTCACCACTGTTGCTATGGCAACAATGACGATTCAAGATGGCCGATATTTTGGCTTTGAACGCATTTTACTTTAAAAAAGGTCGGTTACCCCATTTTTTATTTTAGAAAACATTTTCTGATAGTGCAATGCACTATCTGACCAATTTTAAAAAATTTTGTAATGTAAATAAAAAATTATTTCGAAAAACCATGTTTATAAATTTTTTTAAAATTTGGCATTACAGAATTTTTTTAAAATTGGTCAGATAGTGTATTGTACTATAAGAAAATGTTTTCTGAAATAAAAAATAGGGGTAACCGACCTTTTTTTAAAGTAAAATGCGTTCAAAGCCAAAATATCGGCCATCTTGAATCGTCATTGTTGCCATAGCAACAGTGGTGACGTCACTTTTCTGACCAATTTTCGACTGTTTGATTGTCGTTGTATATATAAAATACAAATTTCGATTTGTAAAGAGCATCATCTCTTCAAAAAGGTGATCTAGCTTACGCATTGTCAACATTTCTATAAACTGTAGCGAGCCACCTTAAACACGTCCGAATTTATTAATACAATAACGTCTTACAGTGACGAGCGTACCTGGGAGCCATCGTATGGAGATGTGCCTACATTCTAGAACACTTTTGGTATGCACTTCTTCACCTCCAGTTCCACAATTTCTCTGACAGTTGCCCTTTCATCAATGATCATTACATGGCCATGCCATTAAAAATTTCGCTCCATCGTTTTGTCTGCCTCGCATGCATTCATTTTATCTGCAATACTTACAAATCCATACTTTCTAGTGTGGATATAATCTCTTCATTCCTTGTCTTTCCATTCAGGCCAAGTTATTTTAGAACATTGGCCACTCCGTGCTTGTCATCATCGTGATCATTGCCAGAAGAATAATAGGAGGACATTGCTTTATTTAGCGCAGTCAAATTACATTACAATCTTTCAATTTTTTCCATCTTTGATCATCGGAATTCTTTGGTCATTTTGAAAAATTGATCAAAGCTGTTTATAATGAAAATAAAGAAATGTATATCCCGGGTTTATACATGTACTAACCAGAAATGTGTATCCAGGATACAATCTTTCCATCATCGCAAGAATCTTCAATTCCGATCCTGAACTGAATTCCACCGGACCCAACCAAAATTTCGATATTTTATTCTCTGTTCAGTGTTTTATATTTATCACTCTCTTTAATTAAGCCACCACCAGATTCGCCAGTATTTGGCGGTCTTCAGCTGAAGATAGAAAAATTCAAAGCTTTATTTACACTCGGAACAGTTCTCAAAAGATTTCGCAGACCTAGTCACGCTGTTGGTACTGGAGGAGTTGGAGAAGTTCAAATCGTAAATAACCCAAAATTTCCTGAGCACGAGTTTTTAAGAGCTGGTTAGTACGCGTATGTATATACAGCACCTGATAAAAATGTTAATATTGTCGAAACTGATAACAATCTTGACAAGCTTACCCTTACTATTTTAGATGTAGTGCATTCTGGAAAATGAGCACTGACTCCTCGAAAGCTAATATATAATTTACTGAACTACTATTATCTTGGAATTAATTTCATTATCTTAAAAAAATAAAATGGAACTTGTAAGGAAATTTAAATTTATTATACGGCCTTGAAGTGGCCCTATAATAAACTTAAAAATAATTAAAAATAACACAGGATTAGCTTAATTAATAAAGGGGCAATGTTCTTTCCATCAATCGTGTGATGTCTTAATGGTTTTGAAAAACCTCCATAGGACGCAAGTTCCCCGCACGATTACGTCACGCAAATCTTATGTATCAGGATGACGCAGGTTAGGATGCTAGATCATTTTCAATCAAATTTGCGGACAGTGATAATGAAAGTCCAATGGATATCGTGATGAATACTGGCAAAGTTAACATATTCTGGCATATCTCGAGTTTCGAAGATTTTGTACCGGTTAAGGAAGGAACGGCTGCTCAAGAATATGTATACAAGAACCCTTATTAGTAAGTTGATAGAATTGTTGAGATTTACTTTGTGTGTCAAGTTTTAGTGTGTCCTTTTGCAATGACCTCTAATGATCTCCAGAAATGGTATGGTCTTTGGAAACTTCCAGGTCCGCACAATAAATTTTGGGGTGGAGGTCATTGACTTGAGTAATAATAAACGTGACTCTTTTCCTAGTTATGATTTTTTACAGAACTCTATTCAGAATACAAGATTCAACATCTATACCGGCAACACTCAAACTCTAATTTAGCTCCATTCGCACTTACGTTCATACCCCCCCCCCCCCCCCTTTGTTACGCCAGTGCGTCTAAGTGTTTAATTGCGGGTTTTTTTGTTTGGGTGTTGTAATGTAAATTTTCCCTAGAAATAAGTAACTGATGGCTTATAATGAGCATGTTGACTATATTCCTGTTTAGCCTACTTTATTGAGATAATAGTTATAATTTCACTATAAGTCATTCGTGAATTTTACATACAGGGCTACACTGTAGGTTTACACCAAAGGAAGTGCTGGTGAAATGCTAATACGTATCCATAATAAGGGTATTCAATTAGTATGCAAATATACGGTTCGTTGTATACCTCTTTGTAACAATCTTTATTTTTACACCTGTTTTCCAGTTATTATAATCTGGTCGAAGCCCTACTGCGCGCTCCTGACACCTTTGCGCATCTTTACTACTATTCTCAACTCACGATGCATTTCAAAGCTAAAGATGGTAAAGTGCGCTACTGCAGATACCGTGCTATCCCAGGAGATGTTGATATCAAGGAAGAAGATGAGAGTGGAAGATTGACTGAGGAGGAACAAAGGGAGATATGGTAAATATTGTACGAAATTAGAAAGAGGGAAGTCACACGTAGAAAAGGTAGTAGTTGAGGATAAACCAAGAAGGTGAAATCGTGTTGGCTGCTATTTTTCATTTTAAACCAAAACTGCAGATGCTGGCCATCCCTGTTGGCCGAACCCAGTACGCGTGACATCAATGGTTAATTAAATCAATGCTGTTCAATATAGTTAATTTATCGATATAGTGTAGCAAAGTTAAAAGATGGAGCGATACAGGTGCCGAGGCACTTCGAAACAGGTAAAGGCCCTGTCACACTATTGCGTATCGTACTAGCGTATGCCAGCGTATGAAAATACTTCGGTATACGCTGAAATACGTTAGGGGTACTTTAGGCATAGGTTGGATACGTTTCCAGCACAGTCGCATACGGTGGCATACGGCGAGGCAGAAATTTTTTTAAGCATGCTCAAACATTTTGTGCGTGTTCGGACGTATGGTTTATACGATAAGCGTACTCTAGGCACACGCTGAATACGCCAGAGGTACGCCAAATGTACGGTACTCGTACGCATGGCTTTCCAAAGCATTTTTTGGCGTATGAAAATTATTTCATTAATTTTCATAGGCTTCTCATACGTTTCCCTCATATAATAGTTAATAGAAGAGATGGTTTGGAAACTTATTAGCATTACAATAAACCTCACTATCTATGTTTTTGTTCAGGTTTATGCAAAAATGTGGTCTTTCATCGTCACGTGCGTTTTTTTTTTGCTCAACCAGCAACGGTTTTGTCCAATTGCCCATCCATGACTTTAACAATAGGACATTTTGAACATTCCTATTGGTTGACTTGAGAAAAATACAATACGCACGTGACGACGAAAGACCACATTTTTGCATAAACCTGAACAACATAGATAATGAGGTTTATTGTGATTTTATTGTAATGCTAACGAGTTTCCAAACCATCTCCTCTATTAACTATGCTCATACGTATTAGTGTGACAGGGCCTTTCACAGGGCGCTTCAAATCATTTCAAATACATATTTTAATATTTAATGTGTGCGTATCCATGAATAACTTATTCATAAACAGAAAGACAGAGTAGAAAAGCTTAATCTGCTACTCTTATGGTATTCTCGCTTCCTTTTAAGAGAAAGGAGCAGGAGAATTTATAGTTAATACGTTTTATCCCGGTTTGTTGTAGGATTTTCAGCCGTCATGAAAATGAAAAACGACCCGAAGATTATTTGCGCCAGGAATACGTTCAACGTCTCGCAAATGCTCCAGTGAATTATCGTTTGCAAATTCAAATTCATGCCGCATCTCCCAACGATAACGCAACCATTTTCCATGCTGGTATTTTGTGGGACAAAGAGACACATCCATGGTTGGATCTGGCTACAGTTTCTATTATGACTCCGCTTTCCCCAGATGTTTTAGAAAGGTTAGAAATTTACAGATGTCCTGTCGCAAAGACAAATTTATAATATTTACACCGCCATTTTTTTTGTTTAGGACTTGTTTCAACATTGTTAACCAACCAGATTCCTTAGGCTTACTTGAAGCTAAGTCACCCGAGGATTTCAACAGTCTTGGTGAGTTGCGTGTGGCAGTGTACTCATGGGTGCAGCATGTTCGCAAGTTGAAAATTGGTTCCCTAATCCCTGCTGGACAAAACGCTGTTTATAACATCGAGATTGAGACTGGAGACAGGGAGCATTCTGGGACAGATGCAACTATTACCATCAGAATTACAGGTACAGTACATGCTTGCCTGTTCGTTTTTAAGTACATTGGTGTTTGCGTGCTTAAGTATTCGCTATAATGTCGTTTTCCTGTTAGTATCATGCATTCCATTACGAGTGTCCAATTTTTTCCCTTCCCCAGTGCAGTTAATCCCACTTTCCCAATCCAAATCATAGTTTCCATTTTACCCCTTCACCACTCACTATCAAGATTTGAACAAGATCTGACTGTCTGCTAATCCATTCAAATGCATCAAAGTTCATACTATTTCATGCTTTAAGACAGATCTACTCCTTTAAGACAGAAGTATCAGACGTACTTAAAAAGCCTGGGATTTATATCTCCAGGTGTAAAAGGTCGCACGGATTATCTTAAACTGGACAAATGGTTTCAGAATGATTTCGAAGCTGGAAGTAAAGAGCAGTATGAAGTGGAAGCTTTCGATGTTGGAGATATTCAACTTATTGAATTACATGCTAGTGGAGGCGGATTATACTTGTTGGGTGATCCAGACTGGTTTGTGAACAAGGTACTGGACGGTTTACAAATAATAATGATACATAAATAATATTGTAGAAAATAAATAATTATAATCTAATGATAGTATATAGATAGTGAATGTCAGGTTGCGAATCAATTACCAAGTATGAGCTGAGTACGCGGGCTCTTGCTGTCTGCGTACAGTAGAACACCTCTCTGCCATCAGTATAACCAGCATGCAAATTTCCAAACCCTGCAATGTATTCAAAACTGTTCTATGTGTCTAAATCCGGTATGTCTTGCCAGCCAACATGATGGAACTGATTGCATGAATCACATGGAACTAATTGAAATCTTGGAATACACCCTTTCAATAATTACGTTCCACAAACTTTTTGGTCTCGGAGCCTCGCTCTCATTAGTAAATTACGCAAGGCGATTAGCTTACGATTCATGAAAGCGAGGCACCCCGGCTAAATGACGTAATTATTCTAACTCATAGTTTCAGGTTAAAAATTGTATGTTTTAACTCCCACTGTCTTGTTTTTATATCTCATGGGATCAGGTGCTGAATGCAGGGACGAAACTTGAGGGGGTGTGGGGGGGTGACCCCCGCCTCCCCCCCCCCCCAAAGTACAAATTGATTGGCAGGGCAAATCATCTGGATCGGCAGTGCAATGAAAGATTTTAAATGAGAGAATGTAGAGTTATTAAGTAGCTTCCAATTTTTTTTGACCCTTAATTTAATCGGTTTATGTCTGGAAACGTTTTTTCGCCCCTTTTTTAAATGTCCGAAAAAAGATGTTTCGACCCCCCCCCCCCGCTCTCCAACATTTTTGAGAGAAATAGTGGCCAAAAATTTTTTTGCTGCAGGGCATCATCGGCTATCGCAGGACAATTCTAGCAGACACCCCCCAATTAAAAGGGGCTAGTTTCGCCCCTGACTGAATGTATATTTACACAAAAATATTAAGTGCAAACATTCAAAGTAGATCATCAACATCGATGAGTTGAGTGATTTGTGAGCAGTTATAAACAAAGCCAATAGTTATTTGAATCAGCCCAACAAACTAGATTGCCCTCCAAGGAATATTGCAATGAAACTAAGCGTGTAACACAGAAATCCACAGCTAGACGGTCAAATACAATGTTCTATGGTACATCCGTAAAATGGAATCGTCCACAATGCATGGGCGCACCGGGCGGGATGGGGAGGGGGCGGCCCCCCAGTTTGTTGAACAAACAAAACCAGTCGGGCTTATTGTAAAAATAAATGGGACGATTTCTGTGACTTTTGTAGGAAATTCTGTCAATTTTGTGGGTAATATGCTATCTAATAGGAATTTTTCGTAATCACAACTCCCGCCCCGTCGACAACAATTTTGGAAAGTCTCTCCGGAAAATTTTTTTGACAACTCGGCCACAATCCGAAAAAGTCGGGCAAATTTCTTTCCGCCCCCCTAATTTTTTCCTTCCCGTACGCCCATGTCACAATGAGGTGATTTAATGGCGATAATTTAATAATGCTTTATAAATTGTAAGTATTTCTATCAAGGACAATACAACTGCAAGAATGTGGATTTTATTGACAGGAGATCGATCTTGTACTTAAATAGTCTATTACTGTTTTCAATAGAATTAGATTACTTAACTGTTTTCAATAGAATTAATTTCTTTAATAATTTATTTAATAATTTATTTAACATTTTTATTTATGAAATTTAGGTCACCATCATAAGCTCAAGTCAAGGTCGTTTGTACTCTTTCCCATGTTTCAGATGGGTAATCAAGGATTTGGTATTATTCCCTGGCGAAGGTAAATACATGTTGCTATTCATAAGAACTGATCGCATGATGACTCCTGAGTTTACCTCCATAAGTAACCCCCTCTTTTGCACAAAAGGAAGTATGCAACTTTTGCTGTTTACTCTTCCTGTACGTACAGTAGCTAATGGTTTAGAACGTTCAGTATTACACTGAATTCATGAAATAATGGTCATCTACTAACAACAGCCAAAATAGATTTTCCCAGAGTCCTTCGTCTTTACGTCAAACCGAAGAAATTTATGAGGAAGTACTGTATTTTACAAACGAGTAAGGAATTCGCGAAAGCTAAGTACAGGGAACAGGCCCACAATGAAATTAAAGCATGTAGTGAACATGTAAGTCAAGCATGCAGTGAACATGACGTTTTTTGGACCGGCAATTGATACGGTTTTCACCAATCGGCAAACAGAAAAATTGAATCTTGACACTAACTATATAACAAATTTATTTGTTTTTGTAAATACACAGGCAGCTTTTCAACGGAATACAAAAGAAAATTTTTAAATTTTTAAAACTTTCTGAATTCAGTGTTTAAATTAAAATGCCTTTTCATAACTGATAGAGAGATTCTGCATATTATAAGTTCGGCGTTAATAATATATAATAATGCAATTATAGTGTACTGAAATCGTAGTATGCGAATCAGAAATTGCTACTGCTAGCTGTTTGTAAAAAACGATCTAACAAGCTTGAAAAAAATACTTTAACAGATACATTTTTCTTTTCTCGACTTCCAGCAACCCTGCCTTTCCACGACGTGCCAGCGATCGTAAGTGAACAGAGAAAGAAAGAGCTGGAGCAGAGGAAGGAGGCTTACCAGTGGGACTGGGTATCAGATGATATGCCTGGAAATATCAAGGCTACAGCACATAGTGACCTTCCACGTGATGTTCAGTTTACTGATGAGAAATCCAGGTATGCTTGATAGTTCAAAAATGGGGTCAAGTCCGTTCTGCGCATGAGTACTCTGCGAGGACGCTCTGGTGTAATAAAAACCCCAAATATCGATCCAGAACGATCAATGTTAGATATAAGTATTTTATGCACATAGTGTGCTCAAATGTAAACAACCGTTCATCTGCCGAACTGTCATGATTACATCTTTTAAATTTAATCCGATTGCAAACAATTCCTAAAATTCATCCCTTTCGATATCGCTTTTGTACTTTATATCTTACGAAAACTGAATTCAATACTTGTTATATTATTTATTTAAAAGATGAAAAATACATCCGCACCTGTTGGTTAAATTTGTCAAAATAATTAATGACGACCACTTCTTTTCCCATTTACCGAAATTAAGTAAATCTTTCATGCTATCTTTCATAACACGTCGAGATGTAGAAAAACCTGTAGTGGCTGTTTTTGTTCATATTTCCTCTTTTTATTTAAAAATTGTTTCTTTTAAACCTGCAAACACGGAAATGACGTTCGAGTTCGCAGACTAGACGTTAATAACGTTTAAGATGATTTTTTTCATATTCAAAGCTATACGTTATAATGTTAAAACTTCTCATTTGGTCAGATATTGAGATGATAGACTATGACGATTTCAAATTTGGCTGTTAGCCAATCAGAAACTATAAATAGTGTAAAATTAATAATAATAGTGCTTACTGCATTCGTCAACTTAATTTGTGTCACATTTTTATCGAATATTGATCTCAGTTCATACCAGGAAAGCAGAAAAGCAGCTCTGGTCAATCTTGAAATAGGCAGCCTCTTCACGATGTTTGAGGACTGGGATAATTATGATGATTATCATATTTTGTATCGCAACTGGATCCTTGGTGCTACTCCTAATATGGCGGATCGATGGAATCAAGATCGCTGGTTTGGTTATCGATTTCTTAACGCAGCAAATCCCGTGGTAGTGGTCCGTTGTGATGCACTTCCCGAAAATTTCCCGGTAACGGATGATGACGTGAAGGCCTCATTAGATAGAGGAAAGACCTTGGAAGAAGAAATGAAGGTAACAGCTCACCAGAAATACTGTATTACTCCAAAACCGCGAATGTATTTTCTCGCCCTACAAAACGAGTCTTGATTTTATTTAAAAGCCTTCTGAAATGCAGCTACATTCTTAGGCCCATACAACTGCTAAAATAGCAGATTATTACTAACTAATTTCAAAACAATTTGCTGCAATTGTCGCCATTTCCGAATTGTTGATTTCATCAGGTTAGGAATGCAGCCGCCATCCTGAACGTTTGAAGTAAAATATAAGAAGAAAACATTGCTGTTTCGGTAAACCTTAATGTAAATTCTTGAATAGTTACTAAATTGTACAGAATATACTATTAGGCCGTTTGCTGTGACCTCGAAAAGTGCCTAGAAATCGATCCCATGTCATGGAACTGAAATATTTTTACGGGAACTAACACTTTCGAACACGCTGAGTTCAAAGGCATGTTGTAAAAGACGGACTGGACTGGACCGGACTGGACTGGACTGGACCGGGAAAACGCGGACTGAGTCCGTGTTTTACAAATCGCGGACTGAATTTGTAAAACACGGACTGGACTGGACTGGACCGGGAAAACACGGACTGAGT